AAACTCGCTTCCCTTCCTCCTCAGGTCTCCCCTCGCTCTCTGGCAGCCCAGGCCCACTCATAAGAACGGCCAGACTGGGTCAGACCAAAGGTCCATGCCTCCCAGTGTCCTGCCTGCCCACGGTGGCCAGCGCCAGGTGCCTCAGAGGGAACGAACAGAACAGGGAATCATCAAGTGATCCCTCTCCCGCCATCCATTCCCAGCTTCCAGCAAACAGAGGCCAGGGACCCGTTCTGGCTAAGAGCCATTGATGGACCTGTCCTCCATCTAGTTCTTCTCTGAACCCTGTTAATGTCCTGGTCTTCACAGCCTCCTCTGGCGAGGAGTTCCACAGATTGTGCTGCGTGAAGAAAAAATTCCCCTTTGTTTGTTTTAAACCTGCTACCTATTCGTTTCATGTGGTGACCCCCAGTTCTTGTGTTCCTGGAAGGAGTAAACGACTCGACTTTATTCACTTTCTCTACACCAGTCAAAACTTGATAGACCTGCGTCCTATCCCCCCTTCGCCTCCTCTTTTCTAAGGTGAAAAGTCCCCCTTTTAAATCTCTCGTCACACGGCAGCCGTTCCAAACCCCTCATCCCTTTTGTTGCCCTGTTCTCAACCTTTTCCAAGGCCGAGCTATCTTTCTGGAGACGAGGCGACCACGTCTGCAGGCAGGATTCAAGTCCCCTCAGAGCCGCTCAGCTGGCCCCCTAAACGCCAGGCCCCGTGGGAGCCCCAGGCAGATGCTTTGGCTGCACGGCTGTGTGGGAACGAGGGTCCAGCCCTGCAGCCAATCTCCCCTTCCCTCCTCTACAGAAGGGAAGAAAATCCCCAAGGAAACTTCCCAGCAGCCTGGAATTCCGGAGGCCACGTGGAAAAGCGACGCAAAGGCAGGAGCCAGGACCCGCCCCCTGAGCCAACTCTATCCCCTCCCCCCATCGGGCCACGGCAGGGCAGCCCCCAGCGTGGTGGTTTAGAACTACGGGTCGCACTTCCCTAAACGGGGCCTCTGCTCCGGCAACACCCGTGCCCCGGCAGGAGAGCCGTGGGGCCGGAGCTGGCGGGAGCGGGGCCAGCGGTAGGAGGGCTAGCTGAGGCCAGCAGCATGGTGGATGGTAGGGGCCAGAGGTGGGGGGGGGCAGTGGTAGGGGCGCTGGATGGAGCTGCAGTAGGGGGGGCTTGTGTCTGGCGAGGTCCAGCAGCCCAGCCGGGCCAAGCACAGAGAGTCAGCTGGGCCATACGCGGAGTGGAGGAGGGCTGGGGGCCTGGGGTCTCCCCAAGTCCAGAAAATTCCCTCGTTCGGGACTGGTCAGGTCAGGAGGATGCCGGACCAGGGAGGTCCAACTTGTAGTATCACCAGCCAGTAGATGCCGGAAGGCAGGTAGCGCCTACCAAGCAGTGGCTGGATTATAAACCAGCAGTCCCCAGGCACAGGGAGGATGGTCTAACGGGTACAGCAGTTGGCCAGGCTGAGTTCTAGACACACCTCTGACACGGACCCTTTTTTCTTTGGTGCCGGAGGCGTGCCTCAGTTTCCCTGTATAGCGCACGTGGTTAAAGGGCCGGCGAGCCGAGGAGGGGAAGGTCGGTGAAGTGCTCGGGCTGTCACACTAGAGCGTTGCTGTGTCCTGCGTCCCTCGTGCGATCCTCCCCCCACACCTCCCCTTTCCTCCCCTCCCCCGCCCCCCGGAGGTCTGGGCAGGCACGCGCAGCCCCTCACCTGTGCCACAGCCACCTGCGTCTGCGTCTGCTGCTGCAGGAGCTGGTGCTGGAGGAGCCGCCGGCAGTGCTGGGAAGCCCGGGGGGTGGGTG